TATTGAATGAGTGGATTATTGAAATACCAATAGTTCACTATTTCTTTTCTGTAAGCCTGGACTTTTCAATTGTTTTAACTCAGCAGAACCCAATTTTTAAAAAATAAAATCTAATTTTGAGCTCCTATATGCTAAAAAATACAAGCAGAACTTCTCATTAAAGAGGGTGAGGGACTGGCAGGGTATCTCTCACGATACTCTTTCTTCGGGAGGTGTACATTGAAGTATTACATGCTTAATGTTAATGGAAACAGTTTTACTAGTCCAAGCTTGAAGCGTCTCCAAATTAATAGAAAAATTAAACTTCAAGTCGTACCTGAAGGCCAGTGTTGGAAAAATCTCCACACAGTGACTTAGGAGAATCCTCTAAAATTAGGTTATGAAACTGTTTTTCAGGAGAAGAATACCTAATTCTTACTTAAAAACAAACAAACACCACACCATTTTATCCAGCAAGTGGGTCAGTTTCCACTTACTGGAATGATCTGATGCAAAACCTGATATCTTTTTGTCTATTGAATAATCATTATAAACCATTTCTGTGCTGCTTAAAACATATAGGAAATAAGGTGATTTATTTATTTCCTTATTCACATAAGAACATGAATGTCAATGTTGTGGGTTACATTTCTTACCAAAAATGGTCTCTTAATCATGAAGAATACTATGTAGTTCTTGGCAAAAGCTAAAGTTTGTGTGCAGAAAGTTCATATTTTCCTTTCACTGGATTTTACACGTCTCCTGCACAAGTTTAATTTAAAATGTTATTTTCTCCTTATTCTTTATTAAAGTGTGGTTATTCTTATTACTTTAAATACAGATGACTTTTTTTAAAGGAGTAAACTTTCAATGAGAAATGACTGACAGATTTCTAGGTCCTTTATTGCCTTTGAATCTCAACTGTCTGTGGTCTGTTTTAAAATGTAGATAACAGGCCACCAAGGGAGAAATGGAGTGCAATGATTTCAGGCTTAATTTCCCACTCAACCAGTAACTCACTGTTTATTCTTGGGCAAAAAATATCTCTGGACCTCAGTTTTTTAATCTAATAAATGGGAATCTTATTATTTGTCATTGACCCCTGTGTCTAAGATATTAACAGATTAGCATCAAGCCTTCTGAGTAAAAAAGGGACTTATTCACTGAATATAGATTGAGTAGCTGTGGAAGTAGGTATATAATTAAATTCTTGTGTTCAATCAGGCAACTATGTGTTTTTGTGTAATAAATTACTTTTTAAACAGTGAAAATTCATTTATAGAACATGGCAGCAGAACATATTTTGCACAGTGATCAAGCTTATTAGTATAGAAGTCATTTTCTGTTTCTTGAGAGTGTTTTCATAGCCATGTAGAAAGCTAGAGATTAGTATTAACTGCTATTGGTATGAGTAATGCTTTTGTGCAATGGAGAAATACATGTTAGGCTGCACATACATTTATTTAATATGGAGGTGTAAGCAAAAACCAGATTTCACACAGTGACAAAAACTCTCAGGGTAAATGTGTTCGTTATGCACAGTAGAAACTAGGCGCCCAGGGAGATGCAATCCCCAACCTTGGGAGAGTGAGGATTTTGCAGAGATACTGGCAGAGATGCCTTTCAATATATTATCACACTAGAGGCGTGGTGTATGAATTTGTGCACAGGTAGGGTCCGGCCAGCCCTGCCTGATCGATCGGAGCTGATCAGGCCAGGCTGGCCAGGGGGAGGGGATGCTAGAGGTTGGTCAGCTGGCCCCGCCCCTGGTTGGGGTGTGGGGGGCAGATCTGGGGTGGGACCGATAAGGGGAGGGGCCCTGGGCAGTTGGCAGGCTGGCCATGCCCCCTGGTCGAACTCAGGTCAAACTCCCGGTGGAGGGGACAGTTTGCATATTACCCTTTTATTATATAGGATACTTATAAGTAACGTAAGCAAATCACATCCCTAGCTTATAGACACAACATAAAATAAAACATATTAGGACCAAATTGTAGGTTACATACATTTTATTAAGTCACATATTTGATTTCACTGTATATTGCATGCCATTTGGATTTGAGAAAAAAAAAAGAAAGGCTTTAATTGGGGAGGCTATGATAACTGAAATACTTTGTATGTAGAGTAGTGCGCTCTGTTATCTTCTTATCTAGAGCATTACTTCTTTGCTTGAAGAAGGTAATTCTCAATTAGTAAAGGATGACATTAATGGACTAAAATAATTTCTCTCAGATTATTGCATTTTTATGCAGTTCAGATATTCTGCTGAGAATACTTAAGCAATTTTTAAAAATAAAATATTTTTGAGTGGGGGGCCTAGTCATCCATTTTTTCACCTTTTAAAAATGTGCAAAGCCCTACTGTTTAGTTTCACTTCATTTATAAATGACATATACAGGGTTGGGCAAAAGTAGATTTACAGTTGTTTGTGTGGAAAAAAATATGCAGGTTATGATTACAGTAGCTTTATTAATATTACAAAAATAATATTTGCATACTCACAATGGTAAATCTACTTTTGCCAACCCCTGTATATTAGGGAAAAGTGTAACAATCAGAGAATAAAGTTTAGCTTCTTTAATTTAGATTTTAAATGGTGTTTTAAAGTGATTTTTTACTTTGGGAGGTTTCTTTCTTTCTTTCCTTCTTTCTTTCCTTCCTTCCTTCCTTCCTCTCTCTCTCTCTCTCTCTCGCTCTCTCTCTCTCTCTCTCTCGCTCTCTCTCTCTCTCTCTCTCGCTCTCTCTCTCTCTCTCTCTCGCTCTCTCTCTCTCTCTCTCTCGCTCTCTCTCTCTCTCTCTCTCGCTCTCTCTCTCTCTCTCTCTCTTTCTTTCTTTCTTTTTTTAAGAAAGATCTCCATGACAGTGATCATTTTTTCCAATGACTCATTGGGAAATTAATCCATACCTAATGCTAACAACAGAACAGTGCTAGCTAGCATTGCTGAGGTTTTACTGAATACAAGGAATTTGCTAAGCATTTTACACCCATTATCTCACTGACTTCTGATATTCTTATATGGTATTGCTATTATCTTCATTTTACAGAAGAGAAAACTGAGCTGTAAAGAGGTTTAGTAGCTATGGTCACTGTGATTCTGTGATTTATAACAAGAAAAATATATTTGGCCCTCCTCCCAGTTTCTGGCACAGAGCTCCAAAATTCTTGCAATTTCCTAAGTGTGGAGAGCTATGAAGGTGTATTTCATGTGTCAGTGAAGTGACTTTCAAAAGTACCTAAGGATGGGGGCTGTTTGCCAAGAGAACCAACCAAGTGATTAGAGGCTTGGGACTTACAGTCACACCCCTCAACCTCCTGGACAGGGAGAGGGGAGAAGGGCTGGACGCTGAATGCATCGCCAGTGGCCAATGCCTTTATCAATCATGCCTATGTAATGAAACTTCCATAAAACCTAGAAGGCCAGGGTTCAGAAAGCTTCCAAGTTGGTGAACTCATGGAGATTTGGGGAAGGACATGGAAGATCTATGCCCTTTTCCTTGCCCTGTGAGCAAATCTCTTTCATCTGGCTGTTCCTGGGTTATATATCTTTTTATAATAAACCTGTGATCTAGTAAGTAAACTGTTTCTCTGAGTTCTGTGAACTGCTCTAGCTAATTAATGGAACCTAAGAGGGAGTTGTTGGAACATAGCCAGCAGAGGGGGAAGGAGTCTTAACCACACCCTAACCTGTGCAATATGATGGTAGAGAGTACAGAATACCCAGGTAGAGAGTATAGAATATCCTGGAGAATTGCTCGTTGGCATAAGGAACCTGCCATCCTCCACTGAAATTGGTACCAGAACCCATTTAGTCCCATTTGGGGCAAGAGGAAAAATCGGGGTTTGTGCCCAAGCAGGGTGCCCCAGCATCTGCAGGTGACCTTTAGAAAAACACAGAAGCTGAGATTTTCCTTTCCTCTGGCAAGTGACAGTTTAAGGAAAGTGATCAAGTTCACATTAACAACACATTTTATAAAATAACATAGGAATGTCATTAATAAGTAATTTTTGAATTTTATCTTCTATGCCACTTAAAAATCTACTAGATCCAGAGACAAATGGTAGGAGAGTGGCGGGGGTGGGGGTGGCGGTTAGAGAGCAACCAAAGTACTTGTATTCATGAATATTAGCAAAACCAATGGACACAGACACTGGGGCGGTGGGAGCTTGCCTGGGATGGGAATGGCTGAAGGGAGGGGGCCAATTGGGGAAAAAGAAGACACATGTAAAACTTCAGACAATAAAAAAAATCTACTTGAACCATTTACTATGCTATCTTAAAAGAAACGTAACAACAGGTTCCTGAAGTTCAGTGGGAAGAGTAGAAATAGATGAGCAAGAATGGACCCAGGCATTTGGAAAGGGGATAGTAAAGGCTGGGCTGGAGAGTGCGGGCCTTTCCAGATGTGGGTGATACAGCTGCTAAATGGAATTGTTGGCCTGGGATGAGTAATAGTTTTTTCTGCGTTTCAGTATTTTGGTTAAAATGATTATATTTATTGATGTTATTGACTGAATTCTGTTATTTTTTTTTGAGATTTTCCTAATGTTTCTACAATAAATTTGTATTAGTTTGCTAGATCTACTGTAACAAAGTATCACAAATTGGTACCTTGTCTCATGGGTCTGGAGGCTACAAGTCCAGGGTTTGGTGCCTTTTTAGGGCAGTGAGGGAGAATCTGTTCCATGCCTCTTTACCTCTTTATTAGCTTCAGGTGGTTTGCTGGCAAGATTTGGTGTCCTTGGCTTGTAGAGAGTTACCTTGATCTCTGCCTGTATTTGATTTCAGAAAGGAAGGGAGAGAGAGAGACAGAGAGAAACATCAATTATGAGAGAGAATCATTGATCAGCTGCCTCCTGCACACTTCTTACTGGGGATCAAGCCTGCAACCTGGTCATGTGTCTTGAATGGGAATTGAACCGTGACCTCCTGGTTCATAGGTCGCTGCTCACCCCTGGGCTACACCAGCTTTGCCTTTATTTCCACGTGGCATTCTCCACATGAGCCTATTTTTCTTCTGCGTGGGTCTGTCTCTGGGTACAAATTTTATGTTTTCCGTAGGACACCAGTCACCTTGTTTTAGGGCTCCCCTAATAATTTCATCTTAAGTTGATTATCTGCAAAGAACCTATTTCCAAATAAAGACACATTCATACATACTGGGGGTTAGGACTTCTTCATATTTTGGGGGACACAGTGGTACCCATAACAATATCCCATTCCAGTTTTGACAGTGCTGTTTCTTATGAAACATACCCATGATTTATTTTCAGCAGGGCACCTTTTTATTGTTTATTTACTAAGGTCAAAGATAATTAGTCCACACTGGGTGACTGCCTGATTCGGTGGTGCCTTCACTCCGCCTTTGGAGCTGAGAAGCAGTTGTAGGCTGAAGATTCCTTCCTCACTAATCGCCTTCTCTTTCATACGACCTATTTAGTCAGTTGCCACCTTCTCATTGGGTGGTTCATGTATTCAGTTCAGTTAATTCCAGTAGAAGCTGGTGCCACTAATGGGGGAGAAAAGGGAAGTAGTATATAATCACTCCAAACCACACTTCATGCTTGCACATGCGCACACACACACACACGCACACACACACGACTCTATTAGGAAGCTGAAAATCTAGTGATATAGTCAGAGAAACATATGATACAAAATGTGGCAAAGGCCAAGATACAGTTTGTTGGATGGTTGTGAGCCCACACAGCAGGGGCACTTCCTAGAGGAGGTGGTGATTGACTGAATTTTGAAGAAGGAAGGGAAGTGGAGAAGAGGAGGGGCATTCAGGTAGACCAACTAATAAAAGCCAACTGAACTATCCTGAACTTTTTTATTCCATGCACCTTTGTATTGTTTGCTGTGTCACAAGCACTGTTTTAGGTGCTTTAAACATAGTGTTTTATTTCATTCTCACAGCAACCTGGTGAGACAGTTCCTAATAACTTCCACATTTCCAATGAGAACACGATTGAAAATGGAAACTCAGAGAGATTAAAAACTTCCCCAGGATCACTGGGATTCAATCCCAAATTTGACAGATTCTAAATATTCAGACTTTTCTTCAAGGAAAGATTGATTCCACAATAAGGACCCCGAGAGGATTCCGTTGGGGTAGGAAGGCCACATCCAAGATGGCAGAGTTGCATAACAGAGATTAACCAGATTCCGGGATGAAGCCGGCGTTGAAACCCAGCGAGGAAGTCCAATCAGACTTCTGTTTGAAGAAGACAGTGAGAAAAGAGAACCTAACAGGCCAGAAGCCACAGTCACTAGAACATATCATGGGGCTGGGTGGAGAGAAGGAGGCAGGTCCTAGCTGAAGGAGCCTTTAGTAGGCATTTCTGATTTTGATGAGGGGTGGGAAGGGAAATGGTAGGGAGATCAAGTTGACTCAGACTTGACATCTGTGTGATCTACAGCCAAGCAGAATTCACACAAATGTGTGTGTATATGTTTCTATGGTATCAATACTAAGTTTGTTGTACTACCTATCAGCTAGACTATCTGGTTTAAGTCTTAGCTCTGCCATTTCCCAGATATGTGACTGTGGGCAATTTATCCTGTCAGTGCCTCTGTCTCCTTGTCTATAAAATAAGAATAACAATAGCATGTACATGTAAAACGCATAGACCCATGCCCACTGTATAGTAACTTCTTAATTAATGGTAGCCATTAATTTTTATTAGCTATGATAAATTCTTCAAGGAGATTACAATGAAGGAGACAAATCCAATTAAAAAAAATATTTACAGTATGATTTTAATGAGCATTTATTGAATAGCCACTAAGTTTAAGGCATGTGCTAGAACAGCGGTTCTCAACCTGTGGGGTCAAACGACCCTTTCACAGGGGTCGCCTAAGACCATCGGAAAACACATATATAATTACATATTGTTTTTGTGATTAATCACTATGCTTTAATTATGTTCAATTTGTAACAATGAAAATACATCCTGCATATCAGATATTTACATTATGATTCATAACAGTAGCAACATTACAGTTATGAAGTAGCAACGAAAATAATTTTATGGTTGGGGGTCACCACAACATGAGGAATTGTATTAAAGGGTCGCGGCATTAGGAAGGTTGAGAACCACTGTGCTGGAGGGTTTAGTTAGATTAAATTTAGTTTGCTTGTATTTTGGTAGCTCTCATTTCTAATACTTGGTTAATTCCTAATTATGCTTTTCCCCAAAGGCATCACTTACCTGATTGGGAAAACTGATATATAATATTCATTGAAATCCTCTATTATTTTATTTTTTCTCTATGCACATCTGTTCTCCAAGTGTTTGAACTACAGAAGGGAAAATGAAAAACAAACCATATAAACAAAACCATTTGGCTAACTTAAAAGAGATTGTTTTTGTAGATCAATTTAAAGCCTCACACAAAATCATTGTGATATTTCTGAAAGGATGGATGCTAGGTCAGTGCAAAGGAAAATATAACATTTGAATGGGGATTATATTTCAAGCAAGTTGGCAACCTTGCATACATGGAACTGTGACTGAGGACAATCTTATGAGGTGTAAGCATCAAAAAATGGTCAGTGTCCCTGTTTTTTAATTCATATCATTATTTCCTTTGCACAAACCTTGGTTTTGTGGGGCTTGCCAACTGAAATAGCTCTGTCTCATTAACACCTCTCAATATTCAAACATTTCTTTGCTCACTGGCCCATAGGACTTCTGCTTCTCTTATGCTTAAAAAAGAAAAGAAAGAAAAAAAAGGCAAAGAAGCTTCAGGAAGTAACTCTGCTGCCTTATGAGAAAGCATTCAAGGATGCAGGACTCTGAGGGCTTCTGTATAAAATAATGTGTTATATTATTTTAAATACTGTGTTGACAGAGCTCACACTGCTAAGGATTAAAGGAATGTGCTGTGACAAAGCTGATTCTGCAAGGATTGCCTTTCCTCATATAGATTACTTTCATTCAAGTAGAACTTTTGGTTTGTGAGCATTAGGGCTTTCCAGGGCACTGAATGGTGGTGTATACAATGCCGACAGATTATTGTTTCCACTGAGACTCTCCGTGGAAGTCCGTCCAGCAAAGATCTCTCGACTTGCAGCATCATTGCTTCTGAGCAGGGGACACAATATTCAGGCTTCTCCTCTCGTAAAAGGCACACGGCTTTTTGAAGGAATAGGGTTTTTATGGTAGGTGGTAGTTGTCTTAGTAAAAAAATGAATGGAGGTACACATTTTGGTGAAGGTAAGTTTTTCTTCTCCCGATGAAAACTTTAAAATATGCCCTTTTCTTAAGTGTTATTGAATTGATTTTGCTCTTTTAGAAAGCTTTAAAGTTCTCCCTTTCCCCTTTTTGTCAGATATGTATTAATTGCTTTTATTATTTTTCTACTAGAATTTGAATATTTTTGTCAACTAACAATTATAACATTTCAACAATTTATTACATTGGACTATGTCATGTAGTTTTATTTGACTCATAAATTTTATTAAATAAATTTTACTTTTTGTGTAAATAGTTACCAGGCTTCTCACCATTAGCATTGCACAGTTTGGCTAAGTGTGGATTAAAAGTTTAAAAACAAATTTTTGTAATTTGTTTGTGATTATTAAAAATGCTATCAAGCTGTACTGAATGTCCCATTTTCTACTGAGGTGTCCAAACCATTGCTGGGGGATGCCAGGTAAGAGTAGAACAGTTTCTTTTTCATGCAGTATTTACAGAGAATGATTGGTAAGTTGCTTCACCCTTTATCCAAAGCAAGGCCTCAAAATGTCAGACAGGATTTGGGGGAATGAATTGCCAAAAAGATGTCTTTATCCAGGGCTACGGCCCTGTGGTGAGACCCCCTTCCAGCACCTTTGGGAAAGGGTGATCTGTCTCCCCTCCCCAGAGCCAGCCGGGGAAGACTTCATTGAGACAGCGTAGAACTTCATATGTGTTTCATACAGTTGGAAGCCATAGAGGGCTAATGTCTGACTTTCATGTGGAAAAAATTAAGGCAGATGTGAGACTGGGGTCCGACTCCTGCTTTGGAAAACTGGAGGTGGTGAAAAATTGACAGATTGCTGTTTGACAAACCTCAGAGAGTGCTGATGAGTTTAGATTGACCTGCATTTGTAGAGTTTGTCAGGGCAAGCGATATGAAGCATTTCCCACGGACTAACAGTGGACTGCAATGGGATCAAACTGGTAGGGAATCATCTGAGGATGTATCCAATGGTCATCTTCAGAGGCAACAGGTTATATAAAGTGTAACATCAGTAGTTAGGGATTAAGAAAGGCATTTCAAATGACCATCAGGAATAGAATCTAAGGTGCCATGTCAGGGTCATCCACTGAGGCCACAAAGAACTTCCTAAGA